AGTGTAGAATGACGCCCGCAGGTACGAGCAAAGGCCGAACGGGCGCAAAAAAAGTGTTTTCGCGATCAGCTGACGCGGTATAGGAAGTAGAGACGTAAGGCACTGAGATGCTGTACATGGCGCCTTATGCATCTCCCCTGCTCTGATATATGGAAGGCGGAGCTCTGCGGTCACATGACCATAGGAAACGGCCGCGCACATCTTTAAAAATAAATTAAATATATAACAATGGAGGGCGATCGTCACTAGGAGAAAAATCCTCCCAAAACCCAGCCATAGAAAGGTCAAGCTCCGCCCCCTACGCATTTCTGTAATGATCAAATAAAAAAAAAAAAGAGATGCATTGTATTGCTCATCTGGATGAGTTGGTTGGTTGGACAAGCGGGCCAATTGCAGCGTTCCGCATCTGCGACAAACAGGCGGAAATGTCAACTGACCGGCCGATCGTCTTTCTTTGTAACATCCCGAAAAAATCGTACCAACGCTCTTCAAACCCCTCCACCCTCAGTGTACCAGTCAGGTAATGTATCTAGCTTGCATGTGATTGGTTACCGAGGGGCCGTCCTGCTTCGGCCCGATTGGTCCGGCTACCTGACGCCTTATAAAACCCAAACAAAATATCGTCCGATATAAAACTGTGATCTGATTGGCCAGACCCGCCCATGAGGGGACATCAAAGATTGTATATTAAAAATAATCCATCGCTGTAGATCCCCCATGTATTGTTTTATAATGCGGGCCCCGAGGAGGATTCTGGGATACATCCAAAAAAGAAGGTTTGTGAGGTTGTCACCGCTCAGTCCAGAGATATAATGTCCGGTCGGCACCCTGGTATGGTGGAGGAGGGGTTCTGCGAGGCGCTGTGGGCGTGGTTTTCCCGTAACGTGCTGGTGGACACGATGCTGCTTATCCGGCTGGCGCCGTTGCTGGTTCCGTGGGTTCCGGTGATGGCCTGGGTCAGGGGGCTCATGTAATGCGGAGGTGTGGGCCGGTACTGGAAGAAGTGGCTGAGAGTGTCCTGCTCGTCCAAGGAGGTGATGACCGAGGGGCTGTAATGCTGGAAAGGGAGGAAAGGAGAGGTCAGTTTAACCCGTTCATCACCAAAGCAACTCCGCATGCATCGGTTAGCTTGACCATAGCACTATAAAAAAAAAAGGGGAAGGGGGAATTATTTTTTTTTTTTTTTAATGCGGCACAAATAATTAAAGAAAAAAAATAATACGTTTAAATATTATTGGTTAGAAAAATAGAAAGCAGCAGTAAAATAACAGGATTAACGGGGGAAGACTGAATTATTATTGCTATTTTTTTTTTTTAATACAACACTAAAATAATGAATGAAAAAAATACAAAGTTTAAATATTACTGGTAAGAAAAATAGAAAAAATTAGCAGGAAATGAGTGTAGGGAAAAGGGGGGAAGAAGGATTATTTTTTGTTTTGTTTTTTTAACTTGTCAGGTTGCTTCAAAATGGAAGTGTTCTAGCTGAAAAACTGGCAACTTAATAGGTCAGAAGAGATTGTGCGAGTCTCTGTCATACATGTGCGATTCTCTGTCATACATGTGCCAGCCTCTGTCATACATGTGCGATTCTCTGTCATACATGTGCCAGCCTCTGTCATACATGTGCGAGTCTCTTCCATACATCCTTCTATCTGCCTGCCTGTCAGCACCTTTATTTTCTGTACATGGACAGCTGAAAAAGTCCCGGCAGGATTCTTACCGTACCCGGGAGTGCCATGGGGCCACCACCTACCTAATCAGCTGCAGGCCGGGCATTGCCCACCCCACAGCTGCACATCAAAGGGGCGGGATGCTTGTGCTGACTTCATTGACCTTATATGGTCGCATAGCTATGTGATCAATATCACGGACCAAACACAGCCACGTGACCATATAAGGTCAATGACATCGTAGCATCCTTCCCCTCTGCTTACATGCAGGTGGGGGATTCCCCGGCCACAGCTGATTGGGTGGCAACAGAAAGAGCCTTCATATTCAAGCCTGAACCTGAGCTCCTCCCTAGTTTGGGGCGGGATCATTCATAGGACTCTACTATACAACGCCTGGAGGTCATTAACCTCTTTATAAGGACAGCCCGGCTCATCCCGTCATCATGACATCTGCCGGCACAGTACAGACAGGGTTAATCATGGAAATGTTATTCATGGAAGGATTTTTC